CAAAGCTCTTGCAATCAACGATTTGCTTCATTTCGATTTCCTCGATCCTCCACCACATGAAAAGTTGGTTTTGGCATTGGAGCAACTTTACGCCCTAGGGGCATTGAATCACCACGGTGAACTGACCAAACTTGGACGACGGATGGCGGAATTTCCGGTCGATCCCATGATGGCAAAAATGCTGCTTGCTAGTGAAAAGTACAAATGTTCCGAGGAGGTGGTGGCCATCGCTGCAATGCTATCGGTGAATGGAGCCATCTTCTACCGACCGAAAGATAAAATCATCCACGCAGATACGGCCCGGAAGAACTTCAACCACATGCACGGGGACCACTTGAGTTTGCTGCAGGTCTACAACCAATGGGCCGAATCGGACTACAGCACTCAGTGGTGTTACGAAAATTTCATTCAGTTCCGTTCGATGAAACGAGCTCGCGATGTCCGGGAGCAGCTGGTTGGGTTAATGCAGCGAGTCGAAATCGAAATGGTTTCCAGTCTGCCGGAAACGACCAACATCCGGAAGGCTATTACAGCCGGGTACTTTTATCACGTCGCTCGGCTCTCCAAGGGGGGGGTCACTACAAAACGGCCAAGCACAATCAGACGGTGATGATCCATCCGAATTCGGCACTGTTCGAAGAACTGCCTCGTTGGGTGCTGTACCACGAGCTGGTGTTTACGACGAAGGAGTACATGCGGTCAGTGATTGAAATCGAAAGCAAGTGGCTGCTGGAGGCGGCACCGCATTACTACAAACCAAAGGAGCTCGAGGATTCCACCAATAAAAAGATGCCGAAAACGATCGGTCGGGCCACGCTGACCGAGGCGTAGGTTGTGATGAGACGGTTTGGGGTAATTCAAGAGCATTTTTTGCACTATGTATTTAACGGGAATTGTTGTTATTTGCGATGACATTATCCTACCTAGGGTGTCGGGTGTAAATTAGTGATCTTTAGGGACAAATAGGTGAAATATAAGGTTGCTGCAACCATGCTATATTGTATGTCAGTAGCGAGGGGGCGACACATCTAAATCTCAAGTTTAGATAGTCAACAAATCTCACACTAGCGAATAAATCTTCGAACAATCTTCTTTCATTTGTCGCATCTACTTGCATCGCTCATCAATTTTTTGCAGGAAATCTTCAGAATCGTCATCAATCTTCTTTCTATCTACTCAGCGTGCGCGCAGCTAGCCACAGCAAAACACAATCTTTTTTGCATCGTAGATAGAGTCGCCCCCCTCGGTCAGTAGAGAGCTTCATAAGGCTAGCCCGTCTAATCCCAGTCGCGCTCCTTTCCGTTTCTTCAGGTCCGGTTAGGTGGATTAGGTATTCTCTGGCACGCCGAAGCTAACTGCAGGGCTGTTACAAGTGTCGCAAATTTTGTGCGGTTTTATAGCTTTTGAAGTGCGGATTTTGCGGAAAGCTTATCGACATTAAACACATTTTTTTAAATGATATTTTAGCTTGCCCAACCAACTATTAATAACTTTACTGCTTTACTTCTTTATTAAATAATAGAAGGTCTTTCTAAACGTAGATTTTCCTGGAGTCTTCAAATAATTAGAATCGAAACTTAGTTGAATTAACCCTAAGTGGAACTAATCCGTGCCAAAGCAAATCTGAGATGGCAGTCCACGAATACCTCAGATTTGCGAATTTAGCGTAGTCGTAACAACGCCGTCCTTGACGGGAACTAACAAAGTTTATACTATTTCAAACAATCGCTGATAGGAAGTTTTTTCGCCAAGTGAATGATGAAATACTCACAATGATTTCACTGTCTAAGATTTATTGCTGTCTCTAATAGCATATGTAGCAAAGCTATACATTATTTTTCTCTCGTCTCAATACCTACTTACTACCAAAAGTGGATGTGTTAATAACACAATCAATGATTAACAATTAAAAAAAAAACCCTCACTGAATTCAACCATACACAGCAGAACATACAAAATCAAATCTCTCTTTAAAATATGCCCCGACCCGTCCGCTCTAATGCTGCGACCACTGGATCGACTTGATGTCGATACCTTCCTGGACCATCTCCCACAGCGGGGACATCTCTCGGAGTCGAGTCACGTGCTTGATGCACTTTTCAGCTATGTAGTCGATTTCCTCGATGGTGGTAAACCGTCCGATGCCAAAGCGAATCGAGCTGTGAGCCAGATCTTCGTCGGCACCAATCGCACGCAGCACATACGACGGTTCCAGCGAAGCCGAAGTGCAAGCCGACCCACTCGAGAGGGCAACGTCTTTCAGCGCCATCAACAGCGATTCACCCTCAACGTATGCAAACGACAGATTGAAACATCCGGGATAAGAATGAACTGGATCGCCATTGCGGATGACTTTCGGTAGCGATGCGAAGATTTGGTCCATCAGGCGTTTCGAGAGGAACTCCATCCATTTGTGATCGTACTCCATTTCACGGCTAGCGATTTCACAGGCTTCCCCCAATCCAACGACCAGTGGAGTCGGAACGGTTCCACTTCGAATGCCACGCTCCTGGCCACCTCCGCTCTGAATGGCTTCCACACGAACTCGAGGACGAATGCGAGTTGAATGCGAGAGGCTCCCAAACATACAAACTTTGCTCTTTCATTATCACGACGTTCTTATGCATAATCTAGTGTGACGTAACGTTGGATCATGCGTAAGAACACCGTGAGAACGAAGGAGTCGACTACATTCTTTCTGCCGCACCTATAGTACCGCACACGGTTCCCGCGCTGACTGTTCCTTACTTTCTCACTCTAATCAAAATTTCCTTCGATGAGTGAGAAAACAGCACCCCGTCAACGCGAGTGAGAACGCGAGTTGCCAGATCATTGCACACAAAACCAACTTGAATTAATTCAAATCAAAAATACTAGCGAACCTGGCGGTGAGCGGCGAAAAGTGGTCTAAAATTCTATTACAGAGAACCACCTTATTTTAATTAATTTCTTCGGAGAAAGTCGTCTGTAACTTCGTTTGTGGTAGTAGTGTTACCATGTGGTACAATCCAGTAGTAGTGGTGTTGCCATGTGGTACACTTAAAAATTGCAATAGCAGGTTAGTCACCAAAGTTTTCGAGCCGCTCCGTCTGTCACTTCGTTTGTGGCATTAGTTTGGCTTAATAAATTAAATAACTAGAATTCTTTGAGTGTATTGTACCCATTGTACCAGACTTATTTCTGACAGATCAGGAATCAATTTTGACAAACACCTTCTCGAAAATAGGAAGATCAACAGCAGAGGGATTTTCGAACATCTTAATTTATTTTCAAAGTGTCAAATTTAAGTGAAAATCCACCAAATGGAACACAGCCTAAGCTCCGCTTTAGAACTTTGTATGGTAGCAAGCTGTCAATTTGTTTGATTTAAAAATCGAGATCTAATGCCGTTTTCGTTTTTGCGGTGTAGCACTGGTGTAGTGTAAGCAGGAATAAGCGCGTGTCTTTGACAGCTCAACATCATTTGTTTGTAAACAAAGGTGCATCCTATATCTACACCCTAAAATATTTCGGTGTACGGTAGTGTAGCACCGGTCTACGGCAGTGTAGCACCGGTGTAGCTACACCGCAAAAACGAAAACGACATAAGTAAATGGGATCGAAAAAAAAAATACCGCTGTGCTCAAAAAATGAAGCTCTTTCAGATGATGTATAATAACCTATATATTTTTCAAAATTAAAGAACCCAGTTGTTCAAAACAATATGTCAGGCATAACATTTGGTAACGGCACAAAAACATTTGTAAACAAACTTTCTAAGGCCCTTTACACGCGAACCAAAGCACGCCCACGCAAACCAACAACATCATCGGATAGGGGCAACTATCACCTTTCCGAAAGTGGTATTGGTTTGCGTGGGCGTATTTTGGTTCGCGTGTAAAGGGCATTAGAAAGTTTGTTCACAAATGCTTTTGTGTCGTTATCAAATGTTATGCCGGATAATTGTTGATATTCAACCGACTACCAATTAAATAGGATTAAACTATTAGAAATTTAAGACTGTAAAACTGGATGCACATTATGTCCGACCTGTTCATCATGCCCTTCCTTTCCCTATTTAATGTTGAAATAATGGTAATTTAGGTTTGAATCAGTATTAAAATATCAGCCGTGAGTCAATAATATTTTTGTAGAATATAAAACCTTGGAAAAATGTGAAACTGATGTACAAGAAGAAAAAAATAAAATCAGGGAAACATGTCAGAAGGGTATAACTCGAAATGTAAACAATGACTTTGAACGTCGATTTCTCTTGAATGACCACACACCCACGGTATCTGACTACACTGGCTCATAGAACAAACATTTCTCTGTCAGATGATTTAGGCTGTGAATCATTTGCCGAGTTAAATTTAACTCGTGGTTAAAAGTGACGTTTCGAAAGTTATTTCTTATGTTCGAAAATCCCTGTTACCGATCGATCGGTTTTCGAGCAGAACTCAACCACGGTTGTCAAAATTTAACTTCTTGTCTGTCAGAAATAACCACACTCGGATAGCAGGGTTAATCGATAACTTTCCATCTATCAAATTTTAACCAAAAGTTAAAATAATCCACCAAATTGTTCAGAGCCTTAGTTAGTTTGAGTGGGTATGTAGTCATTCGTAAGAGCAACCGTAACGGTACGCTGCTAAACTCATTTTAGCAGCCCTCATCATAGCACAGCTACCGTATTGGGGGTGCCATACGAGTAACTAAAATAGTTACCAAATTTAGCAGCGCGGGAGAAAGGTTGCTATTCATAGAAATGTCAAAATGCTCACTACCGGAACGGACTACGGCGAGTAAGTTGATAACCGCAATAGCAGCGACCTGTGTGGAGAAGAGTGACTAAACTAAAATGAGAGCACTGTGCGCTGTTAAAATAGTCGCGCAAATGACAACAACCGTTACGGTTGCTCTAAGAAACCAGAGATCCAAGTCGTTGTTTACGTTTCGAGTTAGAGCCTTTTGACATGTTTCCCCTGAAGTTACAGTAAGTAATGAAATAATAACAATACCTTAGCTCCAGTCTTGAATATACTAGGCGGCAAGAGCGAAATTGGAAAATGGGTTTTTATGAACCGTCGGGTCGTCATGGAATCTAATATTTCATATACAGGGTTCGATGCTTCTTCGATAAACTGTTTGTCTGTCACTTCAATGTTCTCCGATAAGAATTGTTCCTTCATTTTGTCATGCATGAACATATGAAACCTACAAATAAACAAGAAAAAAGAGATAATATTCCATTCACAAAACGATTATTTTCAACAGCGAGCAACGAATATCGCACACATAACCGCATTATTTACAAGAGCTACACAAGGCGTGTGCAGACTAATTTACGGCTTAATCCAAAGCAGTTCTGGTCATTCGTGAATACCAAACGAAACGAAGAGGGGCTACCAGTCGAAATTCACCTGGGTGATAGAACCGTCAGCAATTCCCTTGAGAAATGCAATCTTCTGGCAGAACATTTCAAAAGCATTTTCAATGACACTACGGCTTCGTTGTCCCAAGTTGCTGAAACGGTGAGGGACACTTCCAGTGATGCTTTCAATTTTTCGATTAGCTTGGTTACAGTAGACCTCGTCGAATCCGCTACCAAGAAGCTGAAATTTTCTAATGCTGCTGGCCCTGACGGGATCCCCTCAAGCATCCTGAAGCGATGCTGTTCAGAGCTTACAACACCGCTTTCGAAGCTGTTCAATATTTCATTACAGCAGGGGGAGTTCCCTACGCGTTGGAAATCGTCCTTCATGTTCCCGATCTACAAGAAAGGAGACAAGAGAAACGTCGAAAATTATCGAGGGATAACATCACTCAGTGCCTGCTCTAAAGTTTTCGAAATCATCATCAACGACGCATTATTCTCTAGCTGCAGAAATAACATTTCTCCTGACCAACACGGTTTTATCCCAAGAGATCCGTTTCAACAAATCTAGCTCCGTTCATTTCTTTATGTCTTCGGAGTATGGAAGCTGGAGCGCAGGTGGACGTTGTATATACAGATCTCAAGGCTGCATTCGACCGGGTTGACCACTCCATTGTAACGTGCCAGTGTGGTATTACTGCCAGCACTGATGAGACCCCCGTCTCGAAGCCTCAGGGTCGGCACACGCTCGTGATTATTCCGCGAACCAAGAAAACACTCAAAGTTCACTTAAGACAAACTCCCACTTTATTCGTTTTGACGACACTCACGTCACGGACGGTCTCCCACTTCCTTAGATGTCTACTCCTACCTTGTGCTAGCACTACTTTTCTTTTGTCTTCGGGGCCCCTTCACCTGCCACTGCCGTCGTTGTCGTTCCTCTCCTTCCTCTGGTACTGCATCACCTTCTTGGGCCAGGGGTGGATGCCTCTACCTGTCCCGTACGCCCCTCGAGTATGGTGACGGACTCGAGGTTTCAACGAACCACAAGGGTAAGTTGATTTGCCTGGATTGATGGCGCACACTGTAGCTGAGGGATCAGATTCTCGAACTGCGATTCGGTCACACTACCGGCGATTGGCGTAGTCGACTCCGGAAAAAATACGTGGAGTTCACAAATGTTACGGTAAAACCGCGAGGTCCTGGCTGTCCAATGGTATGTGGCAACTTCCTCTACAACTTTTTCAAACTTCCAACTTAGCTCACTTTAGCACTTTAGCTTTAGTTTTCACCTTCAAACTATTAATTTTTAGCTTTGACTTTCGCTATGTGACCGTAGTCTATAATGATCACCAGGCTTATGACTGTGCCTCTTGGTGGACGATGACCCCGAACCGTGACCGTTGAACCGTCGTACGTGCCACGAATTCTCCACGCAACGGCCCGATTACGCCACCCCTATGGACGTCCATTCATGACTGCACACAGCGTGCTCTGGTGGTGGCTAGTGGCATTGTTCTACAGTTTATAGGGAAGTGTCTCCTACTGGCTGCGTTCATGAGGATTCTGGGACGTTTTACCTTTTACGAACATTTAAACTTTTTCTTGGAATTTAATAACTAAATATTCGAAAACTATACGCGATTAATCTCACCAATCTTGGACGCAACGCTTACACTTGTTACACCATACTGCTAGCTAAACTTGAAAAACTCGGTGTATCCTCGGGTTTAACTCGTTGGTTCAAGTCCTATTTGACCAATCGGGAACTTTGTGTTAGAATCGGATCAGAGCAATCGGACTATTTTACATGACCCGGTGTTCCTCAAGGTAGCAACTTGGGACCATTGCTATTCTCGATTTTTGTGATTGAGACCGAAGTGATCCTCCCAATTGGTTGCCGATCGTTCTACGCGGATGAAACTATCTCACGTTGAATGTACAAAAATGTAATATTATATCATTTCATCGCCAGCTGAAACCAGTGGCATTCAACTATACGATAAATCACCAACTTCTGCAACGTGTAGACAATGTTCGTGACCTAGGAATCACGCTGGACTGCGCCTTAACATTCAAGCTTCATTACTCGGGCATCGTTGCGAAAGCTAACAGGCAACTCGGGTTCATTTTCAAGATCGCTGACGAGTTTCGCGATCCTGCCTGTCTAAAAGCTCTATACTGCTCTCTAGTGCGATCGATCTTGGAATTCAGCTCGGTAGTATGGTGCCCGTATCAAGCGAGGATTGAATCTGATCAAAGGAAATTTGTTCGGTATGCCTTTCGTCACCTTCCTTGGAATGACCCTGTGAACCTTCCGCCGTACGAAGATTGTTGTCAACTCCTGGGTCTTGAAACACTAGAACAAAGGCGGACGATTAGTCAGGCCGTATTCGCAGCGAAAGTACTTATTGGTGATATCGACTTTCCAGGAATCTTGGCTGAATTCGAAATCTACGCACCCGAACGAGTTCTTCGGTCGAGGAGTTTCCTGCATCTTGGACCTCGTGCTGCGAACTACAGCTTGCATGACGCAATACGGTTCATGTCTGGGCGTTTCAACGAGTTTTACGAGTTTTTCGACTTCAACTATGCAGTGGAAACCTTTCGTCACCGTATTCAACGCAGACTTCTGAGAAGGTGAGTAGCTGTCCATTTAATGTACACGTGAAGGATTGTGCTACCTGTTTATTTTTTGTTTCCGGTTCAACTGCATGACGAGGACTTCTACCTGTTTCATTTCATAGTAGGATAACTTTTTTATGCTATACACTTGATTAATGTTCGTTGTAATTGTATTGTATTATTGTGATTCATGTATTTCGAAAAGATATGGGGTTTTTACGCCTTTTCTAGACTTTTCCCCATCATGCTTCATCTAGACACGTTAAGTCCGATGAAGAAAAACAAAATAAATAAATAAATAAAATGTACTGCGAAGTACAGATTCAGCTTAATATTCATTCACAGGCAAATAGACGTATTCTTTCTTTCGTTTGTTTATAAAAATTGTCACGGAATTTAGTAGCAACACCTTGTGAGCTGAAATGCATGAAAAATAGAATGCATGATTACTATAAAACTGAACAACATTGCGTGTGCGATAAATGGCTTCAGATAGCCTAAACAGTAAAAATATATGAGAATTAATGATGACGGAATTGGGTTCTTTAAGGGTATTGACACAAACGAAGTGACAGACGACTAACTGGCGAAGAAATCCATTAAAATAATGTGGTTCACTGTAATAGAATTTTCTTGGAAGCTTGTGCCATCATCCACCAGATGGGTTAGTTTTTTTGTTTTGATTTAAACAAAGTTGATTTTGTGTACAATGATTCTTTGACAGTGCGCAAAGAGTGTATCATTTTGTCATTTTTTTTATGCATTTCAGTTTTGAGTAGAGTGAAAGAGATAGAACCAAAACATTCTAATACATTTGGTGAAAATGCTAGTATAATCCAGTAGTAGTGTTGCCATGTGGTACAATCCAGTAGTAGTGGTGTTGCCATGTGGTACACTGAAAAATTGAAATAGCAGGTTAGTCACCAAAGTTTTCGAGCCGCTCCGTCTGTCACTTCGTTTGTGGTATTGAGGTAAATGCATATTCGTAATCTTCATTAAAAATGGAACCCAAACCCAAAATTTCATCAATTTTGGCACACTGGAACTATTTTAAACACGGACAGAAAATTGTTTGCATTGAACCAAAAAAAAACTTTATTTGTATTTGAACAAACAATTCCGGTTGAAATTATATTGCATTTTATTGTTTCGATAATATTTATTCAAATAAATTCAAAATAAGATTCTTTTTGTTTTAATAAGCCACTCTTCAACTGCAACTATTGTAAAAATAACAATATTCTTTTATCAAGCCAACAATAGTTAATTTTAATTTAACATTTATTTGTTGTGTCAATTCCCCGGGCCATGAATGCAAAAATAACTACCAACCATTCCCTCGTGAAAAAATGTAAACAATAACAAAAAAATTCTCGTTTGATTCAGCTCTAGAGGTAAGTAAGTATGCTGCTGTTGCAAAATATAAACAGTTTTTCTTTTTTTCCGTCGATCTTATTTTCAGTACTGAGTACCAATGCTCCCGACGCCAGGAAGGCCGCTCCCACACCTGGACCCTACCTATCGACCCATCAACCCATGAACCGAAGAGATTTTATGCCTCAGAAAGTTTTTTTTTAATTCAATTGTAATTCTGTTGGTAACAAATAGAAAACAAAACATAAAAATAATCGCAAATTATTAAAAATTGAATCAATAAACATGTTTTTATTTCTACTGCGTATATTTTTAGGCTTAATAAAATAAATAAGATTGAATCAACAAGAAATCTCTTTACAAAACAAACATATTTTTGTTGTTGACCCAGCTGCCAAATTTGACAGCTTACGTCAAAACCATAAAAGCTCTTGTAAATTCGAAAAGATTTTCTTATTGATTTAACAATCCATGGGTTTTTAAAAACAAAGATACTGGATTGTTGAAATAATAATGATTTCATTTTGCAGCCAAAACAAAATGAAATTCTTATTAAATTTACGTCAAATATTATTACGTTTAAAATATTTTTTCTGTGTGAATAAGAACGATTACATTTGCAAAAATCACCTTATTAGCGCCCCTCGGTGTCACTTTGTATGGGAGCGAGCTGTCAGTTTGTCAGTTTAGTGTCAAACAGTGAAGTTATTATTTTGCTTTAAATCTTGATTTAAAAATCGAGATGAAAGTGTGTGGGTTCGAAAAAAATATCGCTGTGCTCAGAAAACGAAGCTTTTTCAGATGATATATAAAAACCGATATATTTTTCAAAATTTAAGAA